AAGGAACTACCGATGAGTCGAAAAAAACGTTTGGGATGCTATCGGCAGGAGTAATTGAATTTGCCCCGAGAATATTCTGTTTTTGACGGATCACAATGTATCGTAAATTTTTAAGATGCTGTGGCGACGAGAAAGTGAGACCTGGAAAGTCAAATAAGCAGTAGCTTGACAAGGAAGAACAACAACTTTGCACGTGCTCACGCTTTTTTGTAAATTTCTTTGCAGTCAACTTCACGACTACCTGTGAAAATGCCTAATTTCACGTTTTGTGAAGGACATAAACAAGCAATGACAAAATTCATTCTCTTCATGAACTTGGATATGATTTCAAAAGGTTGAGTTTGATCGTCCGGGTGAACGTAGTCCTGAATAGGACTGTTGTTGTTGACAGTGACTGACGTTTCGACAACCTGTGCGGTAGTCATCTTCAGAGTCAAAGACTACCGCACAGGTTGTCGAAACGTCCGTCACTGTCAACAACAACAGTCCTATTCAGGACTACGTTCACCCGGACGATCAAACTCAACCTTTTGAAATGACTCCTGGGTTCAAACTTTTCACAGTTGGATATGATTGATAGAAATTCTAGCTCCAGAAGAGTTAGCTTGCATTTGACAAAGTAAGCGAGTTGGAATAATCACGATAGAGACTGAAAAAAAAATATGAATTCACTCTTCTATGCGACGTTTTCATGGCTGTCGGCCGTCGTGGTATCTTTTAAAAACTCTCTGCATATATATATTTACGCAAAGACGTGGCCGATACAAGCGTGAATACCTGTTGATAGTTGATAGTTAGTAGGTTTTTAACTATATTATATTGTTAGGTAACTATATTATATTGTTAGGTGTCCCCAATTAGTAGAGGGGTTCTTAACCCCATCGGCTAGACATTCCAAGACACATTAATAAAGTTTTATGTATATGTATGTATATGTTGTAAGCTGAAGCTTGTATTTTTGGAAAAGCGTCCTTAGTTTTCGGACAGACCGTAGTTTGAAATCAGATGGAGGTTTATATCAAACTGAAAGTTTCCTGACTGCGTGCATTTCTTTGGTGCATGAGCCAGACAAGCCGTGATCGAGACAATACCCGTCGTGTACTAACACACGAAAAGAACTAGGAGAAGTGTTCGCCGATTGGGCATAATAATATAAAGCATTTTTTGTGCCAAATCAGGAACCGGCATCTGCTTGAATTTTTGGAAATGGTCCGGTGAGAGTCGGTACCCAGGGGCTCTTTCGCCCTTACTTGAAAACTTTCGTCCCGCCTTTTCTCCCGACCCGACTGATTGCCCCTGGGTCTCATTAAAAACACTGGACACGGGAATTTTGTTGTTGTCCGCTTTTACACTAGAGCTAGAAAATGGATCATCCGTCAGAGACTAGCCTGTGTACAGTCGCCCCCCTCTCCCAACAGACACCCCTTTTCCGATTTTTTTTTCTGAAGGGAGGGGGTGGCTGTACACAGGCTATCTGGAACGGGTAAACCATCTTCAAACTGTCCGTCAAAATTGGCGGATAAAGTCAGGCAGATTGTTCATTCAAAAGTAAAACCGTTCCATTTTCAAATTAAGACGTATTACCTATCTGGCGCGAATTATCAAACGGATAACCCGTCTCACACGAGTGATCTGTCTCTGATGTGAAAACGGCCATTTCTGCTATAAATGAATTCGCGCCCAGGCCTTGAGTTGAGCGTTCGCGTGTCTGCTTTTGCTTTTTCACAAAGATTATTTTTATATTGACTGTTGACATTTCTGTGCGTAAAATATTATTAGAACTGGAATACCGTATGAAGCATGATCTATTAAATGTTAAAATTTTTCAAAAGAATAGCTTATTTCATCCCGAGATGATCCTAAGACCTTTATTTTGCTTTAAAGTTAGAAAAAATACAGGTTTATTAATATTTAACTCCTTGAAACAAAAGGAATTAATTTTTAACTTTTTTGTTAACCGTAACTGAAAAAAATTAGCCGATAGCCGTAAAAGAGCCGAAATTTTAGCAGGTAACCGTAAAAGCCACCACCCCATTGAGACCCTCTTTAAAGAGTGAATCATACTCATGGAAATAAAGACAGAAACAATAGAGGGCCTGGTTTATCATGTGACCAAGTAATCTGAGTTTCGCATTCACCATTTTCACATAGACCATAACACACCTTATTAAAATTGTGCATTTTTTCCACTTTCTACTGAGTATTACAGTCGTTCCAAGAGAAATCGAAGACAAGAGGGTCTCAATGGGGTGGTGGCTTTTACGGTTATCGTCTAAAATTTTGGCTCTTTTACAGCTATCGGTTAATTTTTTTCAGTTACGGTTAACACAAAAGTTAAAAACTAACTTCTTCTGTTTCAAAAAGTTAAATATTAATTAACCTGGATTTTTTGTATCTTTAAATCAAAAAAAAGGTCTTCGTGCTCTTTTCTGTTGTCGAAGCACGCAGGAAGCGGCAAGAACACGAAAGAAGTGGAGGGGAAACATGAGACGTAGTCGAGTGTTTCTCCCTACGTCTTGAGTTTTCTAGCCAATTCCTACGCCCTTTATGACAGAACAGGACACAGTCAAAGCTTCTTCATTTGTTTTATGATAAAGAATCCGTTAAATTCCCCACGCATTACTTTCTAATTTTCAAAACAAACTATTAGTAGATTGGTGACAGTTCATAAAGCGCAATTTTTCGAGTCGAAGAGAAAATGCTCACCTTTTCGTCAATCCAATCCCGAAGTTAACCATCGTACTCATCTGAAAGACTTCTTCGTGTCTTAAATTTGTTCAGACCGGTGCTGTAAAAAATTTGCCACAAAGAAAACTCTGAGTCTGAGCAGCGAACGTTGCACGTTCTCATAAGAATTTGATCACACCGAAATTTCGGCGAGCGTGTGCTTCTTCGGAAACGATAGATCTTTGCACTCTCGAATTCGGATTAGCCTGGACCCGATGTCCGTCTACTACGAGTGAACGAGTGACTAATTTGCATATCCTAGTCCCCTGCAATAACTCGTGGTACGCTCGCGCCTCCCCGCTAGTTAAAAAGGGATAACAACCTAGAGGTTGGCATCGTCTTTATTGACTTCCGCAGGGCCTTCGATTCTATTTCTCATCATGTCCTGCTGAATAAGTTTCAAGCAGTCGGTGTTGCTGGCGAAGCTACAGTTGTAAATGGTTTTCAGTCCGAAACTTTACCTGTGAAGTTTGGCATGCCACAGGGATCTGTTCTGGGACCTACCCTGTTTTCGTTGTTTTGCAACGATCTGCCTGATATAGTTGAGGATTGTGATGACGAAATTCACATGTATGCTGGCGACACTACGATTTACGTGACTGTTTCTTCTCCTGATATGGTTGCTGTTGTCTTGAACGTCATCCTTCAGAAGTTGTAAGATTGGTGCTGCCTTAACCGCCTCATACCCCACCCAGTAAAACCGAGTACATGATTTTAATGCGAGGCCCGTTTGTTGGGCCGCTGCAAGCAGTATCATTGGGAAACAGTGTTGTCACTCAAGTCAAGTGAACTAGGTGTTTATGCGTCGAAATTGACAGTAGTCTTAACTGGAACATTTATGTAAAAGAGTTAATAAAGTCCTCTTCAAAAAAATTGAATCTTCTCAGGTCTTTGTATTTCTTACATACGACAGAAAGAGCTGATTTTTCTTTCAAAGTAATTTTACAATCCGTTACCCATGGGTTGGTTGTATGGGGTTCCTGCGGCAAATTGCTCTTTGATGAGCTGGACATCGAAGATACATGTACGTGCCGCAAAGATCATCTATGGCCTGGAATGGTACACACCCAGCGATCAGGTCTTAGCCCAAAAGCAATTGGCCCACTGTTAAAGATTTATGCGAATATAGATTACTTTATGTTAGCACACGACTGTTTTTATAACTTTTTTACCCGTTCCTATTATGAAGCTGTTTACGAAATATGAGTTCAACAGCAAATAAGTAAATAAATAAAAGAAAGGATTATTATGACCGTATAAACACATAAAGAATTTAATACTAGATTATACTTTTTGTCTGATATACAACTTAAAAGTTTTTACTCTCAATAGAACATACACTGTAAATAACAATTACAGGTATCGAAAGTCATGTTTCGAATGCGGGACACAAAATCTTAATGGTTGGAGCATTTCTTAAATCATCGTGTAAGGAGTTCCAGATGTTTGGCCCATAGCACCTAAAAGTGTTTAGTCCATACTTAGAAGAATTTGCCTTTGGCAGAGACAGCTTCAGCTTCTCGCGTATATTTTGCGTAATTCCGAGCTCGGAGATATATTCCCTCACCCCTGCTTCTTGACCCATCCTTAGCTAATACCATTTCTGTCCTCGAAACCTGTATCGCAAACGAGTACGCGTGCAACTTGATTCAAACTACATGGGACGAAAGGGTAAATTGCTGTTTCGGAGGACTTTTTATTACAAAAAGAAGCAGGACACGGATATGAGGTAGGACCAAGGTGCATAATTATGCTGGTAAAAAAAAATCAAGGTGATTTAGTTATTGCTACGGAATTTGTCAACCTGAGAGTGCGAAGCAGTCTTCAATTGTCTCCGGCCTTCCCATAATTAAAAATGTTTAATTTATGAAAATAGTAAGACAAAAATCTCAAAATGTCTTCAAAAATGCTTTAAAGCAGTCCGAGAAACTCACAAATTGCAACATATACAATAAAAGAGTGAGGCATTTCATTTTTATTTGTACCCCGCGAGCAGAGGCTACATTTGTGAGTCTCTCAGCATGCACGATTGCTCAGATTTGCTTGATGAATTTTGTTTGTACTCCAATTATACAAACGTAATAGGGAGCCTAGAAAGTGAATTAGCGCAGCCTCAAATGTTATCGCGCTTATTCCATCTCGTTTAATTCGTCAAATGTTGGCAAATGTTTTTAGAGGTAAATTCTAAGGGACTGAATCAAACTTCAGGAAAAGAAAAGAAAGTTGTTGTCTTGTATTCCCGTCGTCGACAAAAAGTGTGAAACTAGAGACCTTCACGTCTTAGTCATGCAACGACAACAAAATATGACCGTCCAAAAAGAGCGTGATGCACATGCAAAGCTATTGCCGTCCTCGTTGCCGTCGCCGTCGTCGTTGCTTAAGTTATTGTCGCTTGTTGCAACATCAACGTGTTCAGGGCCAAGCTTGTCCAGTCTAATCTTTAGAGCAAGTTGCTGATACTCCTTGGCTTGCTCGAGGTCACCTAGGTCATGGTAAATTGAAGCCAAGTTATTGTAGCTTGTTGCAACATCAACATGTTCAGGGCCAAGCTGGTCCAGTGTAATCTTTACAGCACGTTGCTGATACTCCTTGGCTTGCTCGAGGTCACCTAGGTCCTGGTAAATTGAAGCCAAGTTATTGTAGCTTCTTGCAACATCAACATGTTCAGGGCCAAGCTTGTCCAGTCTAATCTTTAGAGCACGTTGATGATACTCCTTGGCTTGCTCGAGGTCACCTAGGTCCTGGTTAATTAAAGCCAAGTTATTGTAGCTTCTTGCAACATCAACATGTTCAGGGCCAAGCTTGTCCAGTGTAATCTTTAGAGCAAGTTGCTGATACTCCTTGGCTTGCTCGAGGTCACCTAGGTCATGGTAAATTGAAGCCAAGTTATTGTACCTTCTTGCAACATCAACATGTTCAGGGCCAAGCTTGTCCAGTGTAATCTTTAGAGCAAGTTGCTGATACTCGTTGGCTTGCTCGAGGTCACCTAGGTCCTTGTAAATTAAAGCCAGGTTATTGCAGCTTGTTGCAACATCAACATGTTCAGGGCCAAGCTTGTCCAGTCTAATCTTTAGAGCACGTTGCTGATACTCCTTGGCTTGCTCGAGGTCACCTAGGTGCTGGTTAATTGAAGCCAAGTTATTGTAGCTTGTTGCAACATCAACATGTTCAGGGCCAAGCTTGTCCAGTGTAATCTTTAGAGCACGTTGCTGATACTCGTTGGCTTGCTCGAGGTCACCTAGGTCCCGGTAAATTAAAGCCAAGTCATTGTAGCTTCTTGCAACATTAACATGTTCAGGGCCAAGCTTGTCCAGTCTAATCTTTAGAGCAAGTTGCTGATACTCCTTGGCTTGCTCCAGGTCACCTAGGTGATAGTAAATTGAAGCCAAGTTACAGTAGCTTGTGGCAACATCAAAATGTTCAGGGCCAAGCTTGTCCAGTCTAATCTTTACAGCACGTTGCTGATACTCCTTGGCTTGCTCGAGGTCACCTAGGTCCTTGTAAATGAAAGCCAAGTTATTGTAGCTTGTTGCAACATCAACATGTTCAGGGCCAAGCTTGTCCAGTGTAATCTTTAGATCACGTTGCTGATACTCCTTGGCTTGCTCTAGGTCACCTAGGTCCTGGTAAATTGAAGCCAAGTTATTGTAGCTTGTTGCAACATCAACATGTTCAGGGCCAAGCTTGTCCAGTCTAATCTTTAGAGCAAGTTGCTGATACTCCTTGGCTTGCTCGAGGTCACCTAGGTCCTTGTAAATTGAAGCCAAGTTATTGTAGCTTGTTGCAACATCAGCATGTTCAGGGCCAAGCTTGTCCAGTGTAATCTTTAGAGCAAGTTGCTGATACTCCTTGGCTTGCTCGAGGTCACCTAGGTCCTTGTACATTAAAGCCAAGTTATTGTACCCTGTTGCAACATGAACATGTTCAGGGCCAAGCTGGTCCAGTGTAATCTTTAGAGCACGTTGCTGATACTCCTTGGCTTGCTCGAGGTCACCTAGGTCCTGGTAAAGTAAAGCCAAGTTATTGTAGCTTGTTGCAACATCAACATGTTCAGGGCCAAGCTTGTCCACTCTAATCTTTAGATCACGTTGCTGATACTCCTTGGCTTGCTCGAGGTCACCTAGGTCCTTGTAAATTGAAGCCAAGTCATTGTAGCTTCTCGCAACATCAACATGTTCAGGGCCGAGCTTTTCAAGTTTTATGGCGAGTGAATGTGTAAAGTATGTTTTGGCCACGTTAAATTTACAATGCATTTTACAAATATGCGCTAGGTTTTCACATTTTTCTGAAATGTCTTGATCGTGAACTTGGAGAAAATTTTCTTTTACAAACACTTCGTCGGTTACCACGGTTATGGCCTTTAAATGTGGAACGAGACGTATGGTGTCCAGTCTCCTATTCAATTGTGGAACAGCGTCTATAAATTCGTCAAATGATGTAATAACGGCATTTACGACTTTAGGGGTTTGACTCTCTGGGCAATTGCTCATCATAATTTGGATAGCATCGTGCACAACCTGGTGCACACGAATGAAGTAGCCACCTTGGTCATCTTCGAAAAGCAAAAGTGAGTAATTTCTTAACTTCACGCGTATTAGTTCCTTGTCCTCTTCATGAAAGTCGTGGAGTACGTTAATGATATAATTGATTGCTACGTCCACGTTTAATTGTTGTGGTGCGCAGAGGGAAAGGAGAGTGAAAAGGTGTTTCACAATCTCGTCGGAAGTCATCAGTGTTTCGACGGCTAGCTTAATTGCTTGTGTCATGGACTTTGGGTAAATTGGGTTTGTATATGCGAGTGTATCCTCCGTAGTTTCTCTTTTGCCTTTTTCTAACATCCTCAGGTATTCGTTCCAGCCAAAATGCTTCGATGCTTTGCCCTGTCGCATCCCTTTGACAAAGACGGCAGCGCCTGCTAAAGCAAGTGGTTGATAGTCTAGTTTTTGCGCCACTTTTCTCACTATCTCGCTGTCATTTAATCCAGATAGCTTGGCCAATAAGGAACAG